TTGGAAGAGATTCTCGATGTTTGGTGATATTATTGGAGATAGGAACGACTCTTGATGGTGTTTCAAATGTATTATTTGAAGGAAGTTATGAAGGCCTCAACAGTGATCAAATAACAGGGTGGTCTTCTCGCCCTGGAATGGGACACTATCGATGGCTAAGAGGACCCATCAACTATCTTCGAAGAGAACAAAGATCAGAGTATGTAGCAAATACAATTCGCCGCATATTAGATTTTCTCAATATATAATCACCGCTCCTCGTGGAACTCGTCCCTAGAAGGAGGGGTAATGTCACGGACATACATATAATTACCTATATGAATAGATAAAAGTATGTAAAAGTAGGTTAATTGTGTAATATCTTCTAGAGAAGCTTCTTAGAAGCTTCATAGACGCTGCTTTGACTTTATAGGAGTCTATAGTTGACTTTTAGGTTAGAAACTTGGTCAACAAGTTAGCCATGTGCCACGCATGTTGGAAGCTTAAAGAACAAGCTAACTACGTGGTCCATCCATAGAAAACTTGCCTTGCAAGCAAAGGCATGTGGCCTAGAAAGTCAACATATATTGGAGGTCTTATAGAACATCGCCACGTGGCTTCTAGTTAGATAGTATATATAGAGGCAAGAGTGAAGCCCTCTTCACTCTTGTCAACTCCTTTCTTGCTTCTAGTGTAGTTTCAAGGGTCTCTAGTTTTCTTGTATTTTGGCAATAGCCATTTCAGTTTCTTTCTTAATATACATATTTCTATTTTGTCCTATTTCTTTTTGAAAAAAGTCTCACTTACTCTTTAGCTTTCATCGAGTTCTTGTCTCTAACAGATATAAAATATATTTTTATTTTAAAAAAATAGACATGTCAAAATTTATGCTTTAAAACTTTAAGTACATTTATTTATCTAATTATATTAGAAGAAATAAACTTTATTAGATATAGGAATTAAAAAAAACTATTAAAAAAAACTTAGAGCTTGACATTTATAAAGATTGAACATGTAAAAAATATCATGTTTTTGAAGATTATTTAATTGGATTTGAATATTTTTTTGTTTCATATTGATTAAAGTATAGAGCTCTTTTAAGATATGATAGATCTATATAAGGTATTTTTTATGCAAAAAAAATTATATTCTAAATCATACATGATATGTTATTTTCTTGCACTATTATCTTATATCCTATTAATATTTTTTAAAGCATAAGTTATGTTGGTTTATTTTTTTATTTTATTTTTATAGTTTCTATCTTAATTTAAGATAATGGTTATTAGTTAATACTTTAATATTTCATACATATTGTATTACTATTGTTTAGATTCATAATTTTCTATTATAAATATAATTATTTTAATCATATATATATATATATATATATATATATATGTATATTTAAATTTATTAAATAATTTGGCCTCTTATAGATGTTAATACAAATAATTTGATTGATGTATGGTTTATAATAGTTAACTTAAGTAAAAAGAAAAAAAATTCAAATATAATTTTTTAGCTTCATATTTAGCTCAAAGACTATAATTTCTTGAATTCAATAATAAGTTTAAAAACAAATACTCCATAAGCATGTAGAATTTATTTAGATCTATGCTAAACCAAAAAAATAAAATATGGATTAATAAGACGTATACAAGGTGACTTTAGTCTATACTAACTTGTAATCATTGTCACATTGAAATTATTTTTAACTACAAAATAATTTTATGAGATTTATACTCCAAATATATATATATATATATATATATATATATATATATAATCCTAAAACTTAGTTAGAAGATATAAAATTCCTAAAAAATATATCTTTAATATCAAATATTTGTTCTAATTGTAGTTTACTATAATACTACTAACAGTTTTATATAGTTCTAAATACATGCAACTTATATAGCCTATTTGTAGGATTAGAGAATTAAAATAAATTCAAGTTAGCAACACTCAATGGTTACCACAATGGGTGCATATTTTCCTTATTTTACATGTATTTGCTATCTTGAATTTCTAAAAATAAATAAATAAATCATCTCATTTTTTAAAAAAAATCTAAAAATAAATAAATAATTCATCTCCCTTAAAAAATCAATTTTTTTTAGATATTTTTGAAATCATAAAACCTGAAGTAAAACCTTATATATTTGCAAATTTAAAGACTTGTAGACCATTCTAATTTCATAGTTAGAATTACAAACCTCAAAAATTTGCTGATCATCTTTTGAAATCTTATATCCAAATAATTTAGAATTGATATTATTTTCTATTGCAAATAAAATTATTCATGTTGTAAACTTCATGGATAATATACAAATAGTTTTCATGACCAATTAATTCAAATTCTTCTTCAAGTATTTTAAATAAATTTGTATTTAGTTGTTTATATATAATAAACATCTTGATATCTTACATAAATGTATCTACTATTTAGAATATTAAGTTTAATATATAGATGTTATTTTTTAAATAATTAATTTATAATATGCCAGCTAAAGCTGAAGTGGCTTCACAAAGTATTATCATAAAACTAAATATTTTAATATTTTATTTATGTTTTTGATGCAAGATCATCATTTATCTGATTTTGGCTTTTCAATAAAAATTTAAATAATGAAATTAAAGTAAGATGAACATAAATTTTAAATAGATTTACATAAAAATATTAATTTTTATTTTAATATTGTTTGCATTCTATAATTTCAATCATATATAAATACTTAGATTAAGATTATATGCTTAATATGTCATGTTAATTCATGTTATATATTTATAGCAACATCAAACTTATAGAATTAGATGAGTTTAAAATAAACATGAGCCATAGCAACTTGGTGATGATTCAGCTAATCAGATACAAGATTTCATATATGGGTCTTTTAAAACAACCATTTGAACATAGCCTAGTGACCACGTTAATGACAACATTATATGTGTTTTTCTAAAAAAAATGTTTATAAATCTTTAGTTTTTTTTTATTTAGATTAAAATACAATATAATTAAACATATATTACAAGTGCATAAAATTCATATAATATGTGATATATTAATATTTATTCTTCTTCATTATTTTCTATCTTATCAAAAAATAACGCAATTAGATATGCAACAAAGTTTACTTCTTTTATATTTATATAATCTCTATATCATTTTAATTAAATTTATTTCTATTATATTCTATTTTATTTTAATTATTTTATATTTTTTATAATTTTATACTTTTAATGATTTTTAAAAATTAATTAATTATAATTTATTATAAATTTTGGATTTTTTAGTGATTTAACTAAGTATAATTATTAATAACGTATAAACTATAAATTCTAATTAACAAACTAATTTATAATTATTTAGCTAAACAAACATTGGTTAATCAAGAGCTAACATTTGGTGCTGATTAATAAATTAGAATTGGAAATGAATCATACATATTTTTATCACAAGCAACTAATTTATAATTTTTATTTATTTATATTTTAAATGTAAGTGAAATTTCTTGCTATTATATAATTATTTTAACTTTCTTAATATATGTACTTTAAATTCTACTAAAAGTTTTATGTTACTTAATATTTGGTATATATATATATATATATATATATATACACATGTATTTGTACATGATCATATATTTATATTGTGGATTGAAACATAATTTGGGAAAACAATGAATGAACTATAACTAATTATTAAAAAATCAACCAATTGCTTGATCCTATGACCTCCTGAAATAGAAGATAATATCCACAACATCAACTATGCAAAGCAGAGCATATAGGGGCAACAAACTTCTACCGGAGTAGAACAGAGCATATATTCAATTGGAACAAACTAAAAATACTAGAGAAAATACTCTTAAGATGCCAAGTGTTCATGATTTGAATATTCTATCAAAGCTATTGTATGCCCTAACTTCTATATAGTCATGTGTATGCCTATATAGAAACCATGGGTTCTATATGCTTTGAACTAACCAATGATAATAGGTAGAAAAACTTTGAGTATCACTTAGTTTTTAAAGACTATTGAAAATTGTATCATAAAACCTCATCAATTCACATTCATTAGCATGGTCTATTTCAATTTAATCAACAATGCACTCAACTTTTAGTTAAAAAGTAGGAGAAAAAAATAAAGAAGGAAGAAATAACTCACAATTGTTTTGCATAAATATGCAATACAAGATATAAGAGGTGTACCAACAAATATATCCTTGTGATGAGCATATTAATATAATGTCCTAATGATAGTCTTGATAGTGTGGAACAATATTGAAACCCAACTATAATACAAATCTTTACAAAAGACACAAAATTGAGTGAATATCAACAATTGATTCTTAATAGAAATTAAATCAAGCTACCAAATTTGAAAGGGTGGCATTGGACACAGGAATCACCTCAAATGACATTAGAGGCCTTAAAATTTACACCTTCTTTTCAACATTTCACTAGCAGAACAGTTGACCAAGGCGATTGCATGGAGATAATCTAATGCGACTTCAAAAGAGTCTCTAGCTTACAAGGACTTAACTGTGTTGTGTTGTATTGTAATACAACTTCAACTCTCCAAAAAAAAAAATTCAAAAACATCCACAAACTCAATCCATAAGAGTCACCAAAATCTAATTGCCATTACACAATCCCAAAATCTTATCAAAATTTCTATATGGCACATACCCAAAAGTGACCTTTCAAGCAAAGCCCAACATGACATGAGAGACAAAAGAAACTAAACCAATCTTCAGCGCTACATGTGGCTTGAGCAGGAGAGAGACAGAGCCAGTAGGAGAAAGAATACAGCCTATTATTATTATTAACTAGAATGCCGAAGCCAGGCTCACTGTCCTGTTGCGGCGCCTGGAATAAATTTACTGAGCACCCATCTTCGCACACATTGCGTCGCAGCAGCAAACTTGCCAGGATTTCTTACCATTCATTCTCCCTTCCCTCCTTAAACAAGTAACAAACGAGCAAATAAACAAACACACTTCTCCCATCCAGTGCCACACTCTGTCTGCACCCTCCCCCCAACCAGAAGAACAAAACCCATCAACGTCACTCGCTCTCTCTCTTACACTCTCAATCTCTCTCTCTCATTCATGTATTGTCTTGTATCATCCCATTCTCCATTGCGCCGGTAAAAGATTTTCTGGGAGGGTGGGCGGCGAGGTGGGATTTGTGGGTAGGAGGGAGAGTGGTGGAGAATTGGAGGTGGGGTTGACATGAGTCTTGTTTGTTGCAGTGCCCCCGCATTGCTGGTGCTGGTGCTGCCCACCGTCACCGCAACTGGAGGCTCCAGGAGGCATGGAGCCGCGGCCGCGACTGGGCGGGTTGGTGCGCGGCGTAGATCTGAGGTGGTGGTGAAGGGAGTGGGAGGAGTGCGGGCGGTGGCGGGGAATTGCGGGTGGGTGTTGGGCGGAAATGCGCGTGGCGTCGCAGTGATGCCGCCACTGACTGGGGATGGGGGTGCGAGAGTGGCGAGGAATGTGAGGCAGGTGCGCGATCTGTGCACTCGGTGCGTGGGGTCGGAGGAGTGCGAGGGGGATGGGGAGAAGGCGGGGAGCGGGGACGGCTATGTGGGGTCATCGGAGAAGAAGTTTCTGACGCTGCCGACGATTCTGACGTTGGCGCGAGTGGCCGCGGTGCCTGCGTTGCTTGCTGGTAGGCTTCCCACCGCGCAATGGATTGGTTTGGTGTGTGTGTGCTGACATGGTGATTGATTGCGTGGCGGTACGGTTGCGAGATGCTGAGAGCGTTCGACGGTGGTGGCCTGCGGCAGTGGATGTGGAGTGGTGCAGGAGTGGCATGAGGGTGGGAGGGAGATTGAAATGCGGGTGGGTTGCAATGCGGAGAATGGTTTGGAAGCACGGGGTGGATGGAAATGGTGTGGGCAGGCGGGAAGGAATCAGCGAAGGGGGGGAGGTTTAGGGTTAGCTTGTGGTGGATATGATGTGCGGAGCTGATTGTGGATGGTTGGGTGCAGTGTTTTATTGTGAGGAAAAATGGGCGACGACGGCAGGGGCGACCATCTTTGTGGTGGCAGCCGTGACGGACTGGCTGGACGGGTATCTGGCGAGAAAGGTATCGTGGATGATGGTGTGGTGCGTGTGGGTGTTGTGGATGCGAGGAGGTGGTAGCGTGGGGGGAGGATGAAGCGGTGGAATGACAGTGCGTGTGGCGTGTGGTGTGGCAGATGGGGTCGAGCTCGGAGTTTGGGGCTTTCTTGGATCCGGTTGCAGATAAGGTGGGTTGTGTCTGTTGCGTGGGCGTGAGTTAGGGCACGGTGTGGAGCGTGTGAAGGGCAATGGGAGGAGACGGAGGCAGAGTGGGATAGTGGGTTGGATTGGTAGAAATGGGAGAGACGGGATGCGAGAATGTGGATGGTGCAGTGAGCAAGGTTGGTGGGGGGTGGTGCAGCTGATGGTGGCGACCACATTGGTGTTGCTGTGCACAAGACCTCCCGTAGCGGCGCTGGCGAAGGTGGGGCCTTGGCTGCTTCCGGTGCCAGCGATCACGATCATCGGGCGCGAGGTACTTGCAGGAGTGAGATGTGTGGAGGAGGGAGGATGGGAGTAGGGAATGGGAGAGGCGGATGGAATGTGCATGAGGTTGGTGGATGGGTAGAGTGGGTGCGGGGTGCAGGGCGGGAATTGAAGTGGGTGGTGCGGTCGGGTGGGGGAGGGAGGATGGAGATGAATGAAGGGGGTGTTGATTTTGGCGAGTGGGAAATGGTGGTGAGGGGGATGTGTTTGTGACAGGCATGGGGGAAGCGGTGATACATGACCGGAGTGGGGAGTGGGATGTGCAGATCACGATGTCGGCACTGCGAGAGTGGGCTGCATCTCAGGGCGGAGACGTTCGGCAGGTAGACATGGCGGGCGATGGGGTAGCGTGAGTTGTGAACAGTGGGTGGGGGATAAGGCAATGGGGTTGTTGGTAGTTTGTTGTTGCTGTGGTGATGGTGGTGGTAGTGTGGTGTGGTTGTGCATGGGGTGCGGGCGATGGGAAGATGAGAGAGGTAAGGCGAGTGTGCGAGACTGACGAAGAGGTGGAGTTGCAGGCGGTGGCGGTGAACAGCTTGGGGAAATGGAAGACAGCAGCACAAATGGTAGCTCTGACGTTGCTGCTGGCGGGGCGGGATGGCGGGTACGTGATGTGTTTGGAGGATGTAGGGGAGGGTGAATTTGAATGCTGGTGAGTGGAGGGAGGTTGTGTGGCGATGTGATGCGAGCGTTGTTGATGGTGCGGATGTGGTATTGGTGTTGGTAAGCATGGGTTGTGGGACTGTAGGGGAGGAGTCGCACTGGGAGCAGCAGGTGTGAGTCTGCTATACGTGTCGGCAGGGTTGGCTGTGTGGTCGCTTGTGGTGTACATAAGATCGATGTGGAACCGATTAGCACAATAGTGATGCAAAATGGAGGGTCCAGGGTGATAGGAGTTGGTAGAGAGAGTAGAACCAAGGTGAAATTTTGGAGCTGTACATCGTGGATTTGTTGGTCGAAACGGAGTTTTATCCGTATGGCTATGTATGCGGTTTTGTTCGTTTGGCGGAGGGCGATGTTATTGATTTGTTTCGACTTTAGAGTTTTCGATGCGGATAATCAGTTCGGTTAGTTGGCAGAGATTTCAGTGAGAATTGAATTTTATTGCCTGCGGTGATGAATTTGAGTTTGAATTATGTGTGCTGTTTATTTAAAGTGTTTGTCTTAGACTAATTAGGCATTGGTAAGTACCAATTCCATTCGTGTGGGTTGCCGTTGCTGTTCGTCTCCCAGCATATGAGTTATTACGAAACGAAGTGTTAATGTTGCACATGGTCGTGGAGCAGGAATCTTGTTAAACAAATATAAATAACTGTCGCACCTTAGATGTGATGTTTTTTACAGTGCTGTTAGTAGTTGTTAATTTTAGAGCAGGTGTGCTCAAGCATTAATTGTTCGGTTCTGCGGGAGTGAGTTTTGACAACGAATTGGAGTTTGATTTCTGACATATTGATGGTTCAGAGCACGTTACAATCGTCAATGCAAGGGAGGGTATTTAGTTTCCTTTTGAGAATCGAGAAATAAATTTGTGTCAGTGAGATTGTCGGCCGATCATATTGAAAAGGGAAGTATAAGTTAGGTTCATGATCGAGCAGGAGTGGTTTTTGACTTAGAGTGCGATCGTTGGTGTGTATCAGCAATGTTCCTTTCAGTTTAGCATGAGTTGAAAGTGCTCATTATGTTGTAATCGTAGTCATCGTCAACAATCTTCGTGGCTTTTATTGAAGAATCATCTTGCTCGTGTATTATGGAAATTTTTACGTATCAATGAATTTCATTGACTTGAAAAGGTAGCAGGAAGGTATTAGCTTCTGTACTCGAGAATGTCCAGCAACTATGGGTAACACCGTAGTTTTTAATAAAGGCCAAGTTTTATCAAGAAATTTTGTATGAAATTTAGTGATCAAGTATTTTGAATCTAAATGGTAAGCTCAATTACACTTTCGGTTATTAATATCAACTGACATGTCAAAAAATCGAACAGGTTTATCATAAACCATAGGAACACATATGTGTACACAGAAATTTATTTTTTAAATTAAAAAATATACTTTACCTGAGTTTAGAAATGAACTAATACAGCTTGGCACCAATTAAAGCTACATCCACAAACATTGATGGGCATTTCAATCACACAAGTATAATTTTTACAATTAAAATAAAAGATTAAAAGAAGACAGTACAACTGAATTAAGCAATGATGTATATTGAAGTGATTATATATTTATGAAAACGTAATCTATTGCTTGAAAGAAAACCTCACCTAATTTGTCTCCATAAAAATGAAACAAACAATGATAAAAAATAAAATAAAACTTGTAAGCATCCAAGTATCAAAAGAAAACTTCTCTTTTTCAAGTAATATAACTCATCCAACAAGACGGAGAAGCCCAACCCCTCCAACAAATCTTCCAAAGAATACCCCACACAAATACACTGACACCTAATCACCAACTACACCCAACAGCACACTACATTCCAACCTCTAATAAAGCAACAACAAACATCTCGGGCTTCCACGAAATGCCAACCTTTGAAGACCTCGCAGGCTGTCTCAAATTATGGGAAACAAGAACCAAGAACAAGATCAAACACAGATGAAGATGCATTAGTATTGTAGCTTCGAAGGATGTTCCAGAAGCGCAGGTTCCAAGATAACACCTACAAGAAAACAATTGGCAAAAACTCAAATCCGAGTCCAAAACAAGGATACTGCGGGCACTTAGTTAAATGGGACACTAGGCAAGAGAGTGCAGCCAGCAAGCACCTGTACTACCAGCAATCCCAACCATTAACCACCATGTTAATGCAATACATCATCAATTTACTCAAGACAACGACGAAAACTCATCCTCTGACCTAACAGATGAAGCATTCGAATCTATGATTAAGAAAATCATCAGAGAAAACAGGGAAGAGAAAGACAAACCTGCTCCAAGCGGCGAAGGAGAAGAGGAAGATGCAATTGCCATGATTTCAGAACTCGCACTTACCACAACAGTACTAGATGACAACATGTGGATATTGGACACTGGAGCAACAATGCATGTCACCCGGAACCCGAAGCTACTACACCAAATGCGCTACGGTACTGACACTATTTCCGTACGAACTGCTAGTGGACACTCATATCCCGTACAAGGCAGAGAGTGCCTCAACATGGAGATGGACGATGGTTGAAACAAGACAATAAAAAACATCCTATGTGTATCAAGTATGACCTGCAACCTCCTATCTGTCAATGAATTAGCAGATAATGGCCTCTTAGCGTGCTTCGATGACAAACGATGCTTAATCGACACCAAAGACCCCGAACCGATCACCATTGCAAACGGCGTACGAGACAACAACTCTAGGCTACACTTCCTATATCTCACAGGCCGAATCAAAAAGGTTTGTTACTTCGTGACCCTAACAGACGACTTCTAACAAAAATCTTGGATTTATTTCCTTACGAATAAATTGGACGCTCTCTCCAAATTCAAGGAATTCAAAGCAATTCTTGAGAAACAAACAGGAGAAAAAATAAAAACGTTGAGAACGGATAGAGAAGGGGAATACCTCTCTGAGCAGTTCAACGATTTTTGCTCAAAAAATGGTATCGCAAGACAACTCACAACTACGCACACCCTCGAACAGAATGGAATCTCAGCATAGTACTCGATACAGCTCGAAGCATGTCACAACAAGCAAAGCTACTTGCAAACTTCTGGACAGAAATCGTGAACACCGCAAATTTCCTCGTTAACAACTCCCCCATCAACGCGAATGCCGGGCTCACACCAGAATAACTCTTCTTAGGTAAGAAGCCTAAATTTTCTCATCCACAAGCATTTGGCTGCGATGCGTTTGTTTTCATACCCAAAGAGGATAGAGCATCAAAGTTCTCCCCCAAATTTGTTGCTAAGAATAAAGCCCAGAACTTGTGGAATTACCATCGGGGCACAAACCCATTACTGCCAAGTGGGTATTCAAGATTAAACCAGTAAGAAAAGGCACGCCACCCATCTATAAAGCCAGACTAGTGGCGCGCGATTTCGAATAACAAGAGGGCATAGACTACAATGAAACGTTTGCGCCCGTCATTAAGTGGAACATATTGTACCTTGTTATCAACAATACCGCACGAAAGCACTGGAAAACGCTCCAACTTGACGTTAAGACTGCATTCCTCTACAGCTTCCTTAAGGAAATGGTGTTCATGGAACAACCACGCGGGTTCGAAGTTTAAGGTCAAGAAGACAAAGTTAGCATTCTCAGAAAAGCACTATACAGTTTGAAGCAGGGAGCAATAGCTTGGAATGACACAATCGACGAACTACTTCTCTTCCTCGGGCTTCACAAAAGCGAAGCCGAGGGCAACCTCTACTACAAGCTCGAAGGAGACAAAACTACGTTGCTTCTACTCTTCGTGGACGATCTACTGATCATGGGCAATGATGACAGCATGATCGATCAAATTAGAAAGGAGTTAATAAATCCTACGAAATGAGCGACCTTGGACTACTCAACACCTATCTCCAGGTGGAATTCCTCCCAACTAGCCAAGATATCCTGATGGATCAGACAACCTTCGTCAAAAAAATGCTCCATCAATTCGGGATGGAGCACTCTAAACCCGCAGCGACTCCTATGCACGAAGCTTGCAAGCTGACGACCGAAATGCATGAAGAGCAAGCGGACGCCACCTTGTATAGGCAGATAATCGACAAGATTCTCTACCTCACCAATAGCCTTTACCATGAATGCCCTCTCACGATTAATGCAGCCCCCTCAAATACCACATATGGAGACAGCAAGACATCTACTGCGATACCTACGCAGAACAACAAATCTCGACGTACCAAATACCGTTGAAGGATACACCGAATAGGACTGGGCAGGGGATAGCGAAGGACGGCGTTCCACCTCAGCGTACATCTTCACTGTAGGAGGTACACCAATTACTTAGAGCAGCAGAAGACAGCCGACCGTCGCACTGAGCTCCGCGGAAGCGCAGTACAAATCCCTTGCCGAAGGAGCAAAGGAGGCGACTTGGCTACGGCAGCTCCTGCGTGAACTAGGGTTAAGGGAAATAAGAGCTCTGAACATTTACTGTGATAACATGAGCACAATGAAGATTGCCTCAAATCCAGTTATGCATGCAAGAACCAAGCGCATCGAAGTTCATTACCACTTCACAAGAGAAAAGGTTAATAACAATAAAATCAAACTACTGCACATACCAAGCACTAACAATCCAGCAGACATGTTAACAAAACCTTTGGGGAGAATTTGCTTTAACAAGCTCAAAGAACAGCTAGGCATATGCTCCAGAAAATGACTCCTTTCTAGTGAACTCAACAATCTTTATTCGTCATCGAGCTCCACCACCCCAGGAGATAGATAATCAATACAAGAAGGGCAATCCACTCCGTCACCCATGATCAAGCAAAATTGAAGAAAATGACACACTAAGCTCAATCGTTCATTCAGGGAACCACAAGATAAGCTACCTTTCACAGCCAATTTGTAGCCTCTATCATCTAGTCTAACTACTTCTAGAGCCTCCCATTCTAATGTCCTTCTCACGAACTTCTTCCACCTTCTACTCACGCGCCGAAGCCGCCACAAGACTGATGCCGATAGTGGGAGACAAGGCCAAATTGAGGTCATCACCACAACATCAGGAAGCGATGGGATCAACACGTACCATGAATCATTTCCCCTCGAGGAAGAGTCAGCAAAGTGACACTTCTCGATGGTTCACCCGCACTCTACTGTCTTGAATCCCTCCTCTCACCTCCTTCTTTTCTTATCACATCACTCCTATGCCTCGAATCACTCCCTACTATTCCTTCCTCTCCCATCTCATCTACTGGCTGTCCTTCAACTTCCACCCCATGATGACGTCCAATCTCCAGCACCAAAGGTGTCACGAGCTCCACCACATAGTCGATCAACCTGCGCAAACACAAGCACACCGCCCACAGAATCACAATTAGTGAATCCTTCACCTCCAGTTCTATGCTATGGAAGTAACGAAGGAATGTCACCGCTCCTCTCATTTTTGTCCTAGCGTTACTACATGCCATCTCACACGCTTTGTGCGCAAGGATTGGGAGGGGATGTTGATTTTTACCATCGAACAATCCTTGCTAAGAGGTAGGCACCCTCGGGGCCGCACCTCTTGACACCTAAAAACACCTGAGATCATCCAGCCAGTAGCACTTTGGTACCGCCAGAATAATAGGGCCCACCACAACGTACGACGTAGCTCCTCGAGGTATAATACCTCGCTCTTGCTTTTCTTTATTCACTTCAAATAGAGTCACTGCAATGATCATGTTTTCTTCAAATTCACCAAGTGCTTACACAGAAACTTCCACATCCATACCACCCCCAAATAGAGCCACAAGTTTTTCACCATGAAAATAGACCTAAGTACCATTCTCCTGTACCGGGCACTTACCGCACAAAGTGCAATAATCAGAGTCAGAGTGAATGTTCCCACACCAAGTAACTGTAATGGGGACATAATTAATTGTGAAGTGGGGCGAGGGGGATGTAAGCTGTAAAGCCATGGCTTCAGTACAAGGAGGCATGGGAGGAGGAGAAGCAATGGGAGTGGGAGAGGGGATGCGAGGCCGCGTGACAGGCAGCAGGAGCGTGCCACGGGCCTGCAGGGCCCCAGGTTGCGAGCGAGCGAGGGAGCAAGGGAGCGAACGAACCACAGGGACTGCGTCGATGCGTCGCTCATAAGCAACACGAGAAGATTCGGGTAGCCTCGTCGATCAGAGGCTGTCAGAGCTTCCCACTCCGTCAAATCCCCTACCTCTCCCTCCCGAAGCCCTAACACTGGTCACTTGGCAGTTCGCCACCAGCACTCTCGACCCCGGGGCGACGCAATCCTCTCGCCCGGAGGCTCCGCTAACTTCACAGCTAGCTGGTAAGCATTGAATCCACACTTGGCTCGCTCTAGTGCGTTTGATCCGTGGGATGACCGCGCTTGGATTTTGATGGGCAGGTTGCTGTGGGTGGATTGGGATTAGGATCGTAGGTTGACGTGCGGGGTGCACCATGGTGACGATGGAGGATGTCGCGGGCACACTGGGCATTGGGGTCCCCGTGCTCTGGTTCCTTGCGTCGTTCGTGGCGTCGATTCCCGTTAGTTGGCTGTGGCGGTTCGCCCCTGGAGTGGCCGCACGCCACCTCTATGCGGCTGCCAGTGGTGCCTTTCTCGCGCATTGCGCGTTTGGGTACGAGGCCAACCTGTATATGATGATCCCCATCTGCGTGAGCTATGGAGCCATGATGCTCAATCGCAGGATGTGCGGGGTGGTCTCTGCCATCTTCGCCTTCGGGTTCCTTGTGTATTGGTAAGTACCCGCATTGTTTCTGATTAGTGTCTGATACTCTGAACCAAAGTGAAATGCGTTGTTGTTTCTAATGTTTCATAGTGTAATCGCCTCACCGGTACGACAGTTGTCACCGCCTCACCGGTATGTCACGGATTGATTTCAAGCGTTCGGACAATCTATGCTTGTTATCAAGTCAGCGATCGCTTGCGTCGGAAGTTAGCTCCTGAATGCACATCAAGTCGTCTGTTTTTATTGAGGATATCATAAGGTTCCGAATCTAGGATTTTTGTGAGAAATCGCGAGTGCCTGTCGGTGAGTGTCTGTCGCCGAACATTCATCGTCGGGCTCACTGCGCGAACTTTCAGAGCCAACTGGAATTCTGATTGCAAGTTTTTCTAAGGTATTGAAGATGGTGGATAATCTGAAGCATTCACTAGGGCATTGAACGCAACGAATTTTTTCACTTCTAAATCATAATAGAAGAAAAAAGCCTCCGTTTGGGTATATGGATTTGTTTATGCCTACTGGACGGATGAATAAGTATGGCTTAGTGTGTTGCAGCCACGTAATGTTCATGAGTGGCGATGCTTGGAAAAGCGGCGGCATCGACCATACTGGTGCGTCTTTGCTTTCCGCACTGCTAATGGTAGTAACTGCCAAAATTTATTGAGCCATGCTCTGCTGTGGCGCTGATAAGATCCTTAACTTCTAGTTAGTCTTTCACTAACTAGAAGAATTATGAGGTTTTGTCAGAGATTGTTATGTGACTTGACCCTCATTTAAGGGTTACTGACTCCGTGACACGTTTTAATGCGATGAATCGACCAGGATCCATGATGGTGTTGACGCTGAAGGTCACGTCAGCAGCCTTTAACTACCAGGATGGGTTGATCAAGGACGGGGATTCCCTTCGGGAAGCCCAGAAGAAGTACCGCCTTGAGAAGCCCCCATCCTTCATTGCATACCTTGGTTATTGCTACAATTGTGGATCTATCTTGGTTGGCCCAGTGTTTGAGTTGAGAGATTACATGGACTGGACAGAAGATAAAGGTCTGTGGGACCCCAAGGCAGAGAAGCGGCCCCCACAGCCTTACGGAGCCACGTTTCTCGTAGTTGTGAAGGCCTTTATTTGCATGGGCATTTACATGTATATCACCGGAACATTCCCTCTGAGCTTTTTGACTGAACCTGATTTCATGAAGTGGGGGTTCTGGCACCGCGTTGGTTACCAGATCCTGTGCGGTTTCGGTGCGAGATGGAAATACTACTTCATTTGGTCCTTATCCGAGGCCGCTGTTATGATCTCCGGATTCGGATTCAGCGGCTGGACCAAATCCGCATCCTCAGATGAGTCGAAGCCACAGTTTTCTAGAGCACAGAATGTTGATATTCTCAACGTAGAGCTGGCTACAAGTGCAGCAGAGATTCCCAAGTATTGGAACATTCATGTGAGCGTGTGGCTGCGTCATTGTATCCTCATTCACCAATTGAAGTTTTTTGTTGAATGCCCGTTATGTTATTTGGGCTTCGTGAGAGTTGACGTGTATGGATTGCTTTCCCCCTTCGATTACTCGAGGTGAGAAGTTTGTGGTTTTCTTAGCTTCGTTTATTACAGATGTCTATGAAAGATTGGTGGTGAAAGGGAGGAGACCCGGTTTCCGGCAGCTCCTCGCCACACAAGTCGTGAGCGCCATCTGGCATGTAAGTGCATACACTTTCCCCTCGCGGCAATGCTTGTCGTGTACTTGGAACGTCTTGAATGATTGTCCCTCTGCTTTAATTCAATAGTGAGACACACTGAGCGAATAATTAACGTTGACGCTCGTTTATGCAGGGATTGTACACTGGATACTTACTCTTCTTCGTCAACAGCGCGCTCATGATCGCTGGCGCTCGAGGTACACTTGTGATTTTTACAGCGGTGTCTTTGGAGGCTGGCTTTTACGATGGTTGATTGGGTTGTTTTATTGTTTTAAAAAGTACCTTGTGGATGGTTTTAATCCAGTAGTGTTGACATTTTGACACCGCAGTGTTATATAAATGGCAACAAGCGATACCCAAGAGTAATTTCTTGGCAGTGAAGCTTGGTTCTTTTTTCGGTTTCTTCTACACCGTGTTAGTGCTCAACTTGACCGTCATGGGTTTCCTGGTGAGTATCTCGAATCAGGTGTAGGATTTAGGGTTTACATGTGTTACTACCGGCTCTCTGTAGATGTCGTAGAGTTTAGATGGTTTTACTCATATTTGAAATTGCGTTAGTGTTGCTTTTATTCAATTGATACGAGTCTCCACTGCCCTGTCGTTCCTCGTAATTTCCTGGGAGCAGTGAGAAGCTTAGCACGTTAATATACACTCGGCAGAACTAAAAAGTTTTTAGTTTTACGCCTTTTTTTTTTGTTAAAAAAATTTCCCGGTTTTTCATTTTCTTTTTTTTGTGCAGGTTTTATATTTTGATGACACCATTACGGCGTATAGAACTGTGTACTATTCGGGCACATTGCTACCAGTTGCGCTTATTTTACTGGGAAAAGTCGTCAAACCGCCGAGATCTGGACAGAATCCAAGAGTGAAGAAGGAATCGTAGTGCCTCCTTCTTCACCGCAGTCATTTGTGTGGAGTAAAGAACCTGCTGTTTCGGCTGTTTATGATTTTCAAGCTTTAGATATTGATGAGAAATTTGCATCTTTACAGTCTGCAGCTGTAGTTTTGTGGTTTGCCAATTAGAATGGTGGAGGTTGGCAGGTGCTGTCCCTAGCTTCTAATAATGCAGTCATTATTTTTTTTTTTATATTTTTGAATTGCAGGTGAGCCAAATTGGAGTTGTGCATGTGTACATTACATTCTACATCATATTGCATGATTTACTTCGTGGGTCCACATCTGGGTGTTTATTCCAAACTATCGTCTTCGTGTGGATCATTTCTCAACCTTACATTAATCCTCCAGAATCATGGATATGCATGTGTCATTGTCTCACTTGTTTTCTTAGGTTGATGGCTACATCAAAGGTTCTAAGCACACGCAATACTTTCAGGGACTGTGTGAATGGAAAAAGTAAATATTCATTGTGCAGCGAGAAAAGAGGTTGGAGCCTCTGACGGTAATTGCTGGTAACCATATGCAGTGCAGTGTGTCAGAAAATTTCCTCGAGTGCAATGCATTGTGGGTAAACTGCCTCCATCCCCAAAACCGCAATGTTTCTACAACTATACAACCAAATAGCTTATCTGTGTAGTCTTAAATATGTCTCCCTTACCTCTCCTAACTTTTACCACATTCAGCACAATCCTAAAGTACTTTCGGTAGTTCCGATGCGATTCACCACTGCAAGAAAAGTGTGATAAGAGCGGGTCCCTGTTTTGAGAAGCGGCGCCCAAGATCAACAATAAATTCGAAACAATTAACGCGTGGGCCGAATTGGTCCATCCGAATGCGCCACCCATCATCTACGTCTTTAATACATCACTTCGATAACTGGCATCCGTGCATGCCGAACCACCTTCTGTGTGTTCATGTAATTATCCTTTCTTTCTTTGCCGGCCCGACCTCAACTTTTTCCCCTGTGTCTAGCCTTGGAGAATTCGTCTTTCTGCCCTTGAGTAGCAATTTCAGTCAGGCGAGCTTGCCGTTGTTGTTACTGAGAGAACCCGGAGAAAGAAACCAGGTTTTCAAGATGGTGGATGCGGCAGCTTTGATCATCGGAGTCATATTGTTTGTGATCTTGTCTCCAGGACTGCTCTTGCAGATCCCTGGAGATGACCGCCCTATTGAGATCACTAATCAACGGACCAGCATAGCGTCTGTGATCGTGCACGCAGTGGTGTTTATTATTCTCTTCTATCTGCTGCAGCTCATCTTCCACGTCAACGGTGGCACTAAGACCGATTAAGGGTTTTAGTTGTTCTTGGTCGAATTGGGTAAGTTCGAATGCATTTTCTTGTTGATATGATGTTTGATTCTAGTGTTCTTTTTACATCATAATCAAGTCTTTTTTACTTTTGGCTATGATTTCTTCGTCTTGCTGTGTTTTCTGCTGCTGTTCTAGCATAGTCTAGCTGGATGCGGGTTACTTTGTCCGCGTCCTTGGTTGGCCAGTTGGTGTAAATAGGTTTTGGATTCTTGTGCAATTACCTGGCGCCGAGTTGGACTTTTGGGTTTGTTTCTAAAGTAGCACGGTTACCCTGGTTTTTTTTTATTAGGAAATGGAGGCCAACGTTAACTGAGTCTTGGAAACATGGAGTAGTTTGAAATCCGCTCACAAGCAGGAGTGTTCGACACTATCGGTGGGTTTCCGTCGGCTAGTTGAATGCTAATAAAATCAAGATCGATATGATAGTTGTTTTTCGTGTGGATATGTACAGTTGGATGCTTGCACTGAAATGACAGAGTACAAAGCTTGCTTTCTGCTTACACTTGTCTTCTCTTCAGGATGGTGATGGATGATTAGAAATTGTATCAGCCTCTTGTTTGAGTGTGGGTGTGAAAATCCGGAGAGTGTCATTGCCTGCATTATAACCTCAGAACATTGTGCGACGATGAAAAGCTTGATACTGTCGCGACAACCTTGTCCTGAGTTGGAATTTCATCCAGGTGCTCAATTCGGTATCTAATGAAAACGCCATCTCGATTGCCTTCGTTTATTCTAAAATAAGCATAAAAAGCTGCATCGCTGTGTGTTCGAACATTGGTACGTCTAGACATCAAAGTGCCGTGGCTTTGAATTTTTCATGTGAACGACCTTGTACAAGTCTACAAGAAGTCAAAAGTAGGAAAGCACTGGTCCTCCACTGGGATACGCGTAAATCTTGAAAATCCGACAGTAAAAGAGTAGACCCTAGTGGTTGTGGAAACGGCGAAACTCTTCCGTTGAGTGTCACGTTTGTATTTGTCGGTTTCTACGATTATGGTTATGGTGGAGTATGAATCCAGGTCTATGATTGACCAGTGTAACATTCCAGTTCCAAACAAAGTTGAAATGCTGCAAAGATAACCACTATCGTTCAAATGAGGATTAAAAATCGAAATTCACTAAACTAAATCTTTTGATTTAATAAATTATAATACATATCACATTGCTTACAGCAAATGCATCTGCTCAAGCATTTTTGGACAAACAGACGCTAGCTACGTAAAAGCAATTTCACCACAAAACACTTCTTCCCTTCATGACAAGTTACAATCGTTACACATATTATACATTACCGATGTGACATGTACACTATTAGCGCATGTTGAGGTTGTGGGACGCCATTATTTTCTCTTTCAAGCCCGTTGACTTTGGCAAACAACATCGATTTTATGAAGGCACGTGCCATCATTTCCAGTGCCATGGATGTAGAAATGCTTTGGCAATTAACCTCCAAATCATCAACAATACGTTGCATCAAGCCTGGTGGATACTGCACACTAAACGCTGGTAGATGAGAGTGAAGCATCGATGCACATTCGCAAAACTGTCCAATTGCTCCGTGTCACAATGAGAACCCTTCTGTCCACGATCACATACATCACCGAATTTCATCTGTCCCAGTAATGTTTGCAGAATATATTACCATCCCGAATTCAAACAACAAAACAATTTAAGGCAAATAGTGAAAAAGCGCGTAAAATATCTCAAATTAAAATCACGATGCAAATTGCGGAAGTTTACAGAGCCCGCGAGGTTTCGCACATGAATAGTCTGCAATTCAACGAGTTCCAATTTGTTTCCTAATTATGAATAAATGCAATGAATTATCATCAACATGATAGCATCATGAATGAAGAATAACATCTTAAAAGATCTAATCCAAAATGGTCACCTATATTGGCCAAGGCTATCCCCGAGGAGTGTAACAAAAGAAGATAAAATCTCCGTAACTTCCACACGTCCTCCTACACTAACAAATTCATTCCAATCAGCCACCCCCTCCCCTAAGTAACATGGTAACAATACGTCCCGCCTGAATTTGCACAAATGGCTCCTCAATGTCTCATGGCTACCCCCAAGATAGGAAGAAGAAAAGAAAGAAAAAAAAAAAAAAAAAAAAAAACTTCAACTCAACCCTCTACTCCTTCTTAGGCTCCTCAACCACACCACCGGTCGTTGGCAGACCCACGAACACCTTGAACGAATCGTAGATACCCCACTGTGCTCCCGTCAATGTACCGATCATGATAATACGCAATGGCAGCCCCCGGGTGAACAACGCCTTCAACCCCATCTGGTCAATCGCCTGCTTCACCGTCGCATCCTTCGACTTGTTCAGGAACGACACCAAGTTGTCCGCCGGGTGCGAAATGATGGCGCAAGCCACTCCCGCAATGTATCCCGCCGTGAACGAGATACCCAACTGTGAGCTCGACGACACCTCGCTCTTCGGCACTGGCACCGCGTACTTGTAGATCGCCTCCACCGTGCTCTCGAACGTAGCGAACTTCATCATCGTGTACGGGATCTGCCGTCCCCACAATGGCACCAAACCCTTGAACAGCCCCTTCACACCGTCCGACGCAATCAGCTTCGGCATCCCGTCGCTCAGTCCCTTCGCGAATCCCGGGTTCGTCTGCACTCTCACCTTCACGGCCTCGAATGCGCACAACCCCACATCCGCAATCACCTCCGCGGACGCAGACCCTGCCAAGTAGATCACCGTCTTGTACTTCTTGGCGTTCTCCGGCCCGGCCATGTCCGAGTATGTCTTCTTAAAGTACTCGTAGAACCCGTACTTGCAAGCACCCTGCACACTGTACCCAAGCAGCGTAGGCACCCACCCTCGGAACAGACCCACCACCCCGTGCTCCTTCACGATCAACGAAAACCCTCCCGAGATCGACTTGTACTTCTCCGGGGCGATCTGCATGTTGCACTTCACCACGTCGATGGGCGTCACTCCCATGTGCGTCAGCCCGCAGCACAGCATCCCTCCTACAGCGCAAGCGCGGTAGTACTCACCCGAGAACATGACAATCTTGCGCTCGCTCGCGGACGGCACCATGAATGGCGACGCCACCCCGGCGGGGGTTCTCGCGGCGCCCGCCACCTGCTTGAACAGGCTCGAGGCCGTGTAAGCGGGAGCGGCATTGCTGCTGGCTTCCGCCGTCAAAGCTTGGAACAAAGACTTAGGAGCAGAAATGCCACTCCTGGCGGTCTTGGTGGAGTAAAGAAACTCCGGCACCATGGAAGTGCGCTTTTCTGCAAACACCATAGCTGCACGAAGCTCTGCGACGAGCTCCCGGCAACCCCACAGAAAGCTGAACCCTCGCTCGAGCCTCACTCAAACAGCAAGCAGAAACAACTACCAGACTCCAAGCAAGCAAGCAAGAGATGAAGGGCTCACAAGGTGCCTGCGAGATTCAACCCCGAATCGCAGCGTGGAAATTTCGGATCCTGCTGGAGGACAAAAAGATTCTTCTTCGAAGATGCTGCCGTGGTGTGAGAGAGAGAGAGAGAGAGAGAGAGAGCGAGCGGTGGGTGTGTACTCAGGTGGACCCGGGGCCTCAACGGTGAAGAATGAATGGAGGGGCGCCTTTGGGTCCCACTACGGGCCGGGGTTGGGGTTGGGCTGGGCTGGGCTGCCTGCTGCGTCGTCCCGGTGGTTTGAATGGGCCAGAAAGGAGGCTCCTCCGTTGTACCCTCGGCTTCCATTCCTTTCGTTTCCTCCCCTTTCTCCTCCGCTGCCCTTCCGCCTCTCGCCTTGTAGGGATGAATGTTCCCTCGAAAATGGATGTTATTTCGCTCGTCTGTGGCTCTTCCTGGAGCATTATGTGGTGCCTCAATAGGGAGCAGCAAACCATGGGAATCTGAAGGCGAGTTGAATGCGATTTCCCAGAACAGGTACCCATCCATCCATCTTGATGTCATGATGAAAGGATGGTAGTTGGATGAAGCGGATGCTAATTATTATTTGTTGAGGAATTAGACATGATTAAAGGAAAAAAGATAATATTATTAAAACGTTCTAACATGAAGAGCCATTTTGCTTTTTCTGTTCATCATGCTGCAGGTACGAGCCGGATACCAAGCCACTATGGCTGAGATATATGTGTTAGAATTTTGGAGATTGATAGGAAGGTGGTGAATAGGAGCACCATATACACATGAATAGTGGGTGATAAACACACTAAGATTTGCTGCAATCTTTGTAATAAGCGTGAATGGAGATGCCCATGACGTTTGGAAGGAGATGGGAATGATTGTTTGTAGTTAGGGACATTACACAACATTACAATTCATGTAAGATGCAAAATTAAAATAAATGTATGTTTATATATATATATATATATATTGGTAGAAAATATTACAATTCCTTTATATAGATTTGAGAATACATTAAAAAGAAAAACCTATAAATTATGCATTCAATTATTTGAAAAGATATGGTTATTGCAAATATCTTGTATCAATCTATTTTATAAATAATTGAAAGTTGTTTGTAGATTTTAGCACATAGAGAAGAAATATTAGTTTTATTTTTAAGAATATGTATCAAAGGAATTTGTACAAAACTTTATTTTCTGAGGTACATTCTAATATTATTGTCATTTACTAAAATTATTTATTTATTTATAATGAGATACATTATTCTATATTGAAACAATCAAGTTCTCAAACTACAATTATCTCACCAATACATTCTTTTAATTTATTTTTTTTGCACAATTCTCTTTCTTACGTAGAATTTAGCTTAAATCTAATGTTTATACATTTGTACATATTCATATATATATATATATATATATATATATATATATATATAAGTAATTTTTAAAAAATAAAAATCCAATATTAATACAAAATATATAATATATAACTCAAAATATTCCCACATTAAATAGTATTGTGCTATGCAAACAATACACTAAATTAATAGACAAAATTTTAAAAGGTGTTTTAAGAATATATATATATATATATATATCAGAGTAAAATAGATACAAATGTATTCTCTTGTTTGTGCTAAATTTTCATAATCACATATAACAACATGGCATTCCCAATTTATATACCTAACAAAAATATCTAATAGATTGGCATTTGCATAGATGTATGCCATTGACAAAACATGATGATCATTAAAAACATAAAAAATGAATATTAACAAATATATTGTACAATGATACAATGAAATAATTGACAAATAAGTCTGTAGCTATTTATGCCAATATTAGAAAATATTTACACTACTCGATATGTCTTGTGTGTTATAAATAATAGCTTAGTATATTATAATTAAGCATTGTATTTTTCAAATAAAATATAAGATATATATATATATATATATATATATATATGTAATATAATTATAACATAGCCAGATATTCAAGAAAATAATTAAAAATAAATTTAATTAAAATATGATAAAATAATAAAGATGTTATCAATGAAAAATATATATATATATATATATATATATATATTAAGAATAATAAATAAAATATATGTTTATTTGAATTTTTTATAATCTTAATTTTTTGCACCTTAAACAAACAGATTTTTTTTCTTTCAAATATCATATTTATTTATTTATTTTAAGGGTGCCCTTTCATTAGCCAAAATCATTGAAATTGAAAAACAATTAGATATAAGGTAAAGACACAAAGAAGTCTTCTTATTGGCTAAAATCATAGAAATTGTTGCAATGAGGTTGTTATGAGTTATTCTTAGCATTCAAAAATCATATCTTCAAATTAGAACCACCAGCAAAATGCCTTGCACAGCTATTTGTTTAACCATATTACATTTTGTCTACAATTAATTAATTTATCCAACTTTGAAAAAAGTGAGGTTTTGAGTTTAACTTGATTATGAATATGGGTCATAGGTAAATTACATTGCAAATAATAGGCATAACATAATCTTTAGCTAATTAGTAATCTATAGTATCAAGAAAACATTGAGGACTTTGCAATTGATCACACTTGATCATTATATAATTGACTTATTGAATTATAGAGTTAAGACTATTAATTACAAGGAACAATTGGCTTTTGAAGATCATATCATGCCTATTATTTGCAATGGTTTTGTTCAAGTTGCACCAAAGACAATTTTGAATAAAGGTGGCAATTGTAATAGCCATTAATAAGTCCCAAAGATAATTCTTAAAGAATGTGGGAATAGATCTTAGAACTTCCATATTTGCACAAAAATAATTGTATGTTGCTCGTACACAATGTACTTTTTTAAATATAATTAAGATTATTTAGCTTGACAATAATGAAGACAAAAACACCACCATAAAAATAGCTTATTTAAAATAAAATAAAAAACTTAACTATTTAAATTGTTCTACTAAATAAAAATTATACTTGCAAATAATACTAAAGAAACATAAATGATTCTATTGTTACATGTGTGTATGTGTGTATATATATATATATATATATATATATATATTTTTTTTTTCTTATTGATTGATATTTCTTTAGAAGTGATCAATTTTTGAATTAGCAATTACACATTTTACAGTTTTTTCATGCTTTATAATGCAACTTTTTGCTGCTTGATATATATATAATATTTATTTGGATCATCAGTTATTTTTATTATTTTTGAATGGTTTTTGTGGGATATTAGACTATTTTGATATTTATTCCTATATATACTTATTAAAATTATATTTATGCTAATAAATTTCAAATTAATTTTTATTAATTTTTATTATTGAACCAAAAATAAATCGTACAATATATCTATGTTAAAAAATGATTATTTGATGCTTTTACTTATGATATTTTTAAAGATAAAATTCGATATTTTTTGAATTTAATACACTTATTCTTTGTTTTTCATATATATATATATATATATATATATAGATATGAATTCAAATTTTATTTGACATCTCTTGTGTTACTATAGTTACTTGTAAAGTTTTCTATATGGAATCCAACCAACAAATAAAAAAGAAAAAGAAGAAGGGAGTGAATGATATTTCAACGTCAACACTCCAAGTTCGAATGAATGAATAGTTGTCAAATCTGACATGGATGAAGGGTATCGTCGGCGAGACCATGACAAACGAATGATACTTTACTTTGGATACGTGAACGAATGAAGATCATTTACTTATTCATCCATCTAGTCGAGCTTCTGCAGTGCTTGCATTCTGGAGCCGACTGGTCATGGCGAGCCGATCCTCTCTCATCGTCAATCTTGCATTCTAACAGCGGCAGAGTGGATTTTCCAATTGTGGGTTCTTCTGCACGTCGATATTTTCTTTACGATTCTTCATCTGGGAGTCTGTTGATGGTGACTTAAGGTTTTAGTAATGCAGTGCGTTATTGCCGATGACGCAAGTGTTTTGATCGGTACTATGGTTAGTCTGTAAAGTTAGAAAAGGTTGACAAGGGGTTCATGCTAATCTCGATCGCCGAATTCGACTATTACTGACACTGCCACCATTCTTTTCAAGACTTGGACGAGTTTCGAAGCTTGGGTAGTGATATCGTGACAGACAGGACCAAGTTTTGTTAGCTGAGGTATCCATCACCTTCTTGCTTGAGTGTTAACGTTGTGGTTTCTGTGGTTGTTGTGTTGAGCATTGGAAGCTACTGGATGCATTCTCGTTGCCACGCTACAGAAGATGGAGTTGTGAGTTGTTCAATTTGAGGGTTCGTGCATACTTTCCGTCTTGTGTTGAGTCTTAAGCAACGATTGGATGAGGTTTTCCGAAGGTGTGTGTGATTGTAGGCCATGGAGAATCCCTTGAACTCTTCTGAAGCGCATTTTTTTCCTCCACGCATAGAACTTGACCTTGCGTCTGTTCTTCATGTTGAACGAGGTCAAGAAACTCTACATCCAGTCATTCATAGCTCGAATTGTGAAATGTCGCCGCTTGTGGTCCAGGGTCCTTCAGACTGAAGTAAAGTTGTGAAGAATTGCAGTGATCTATGATATGCCCTATATTCACGATTATATCTTGTGTTACGTCGAGTTTCTAGTTGTCTTTCAGTTTCCAACTTCTTAGTCGTTTCTAGGGCAATTAGAGTCATCCACTGATGGACTTTATCCTCATTCTCCTACTTAATGTGACTGTTTCATGAGCTTAGTTTTTGGTTTTCAGTCTTGTTTTCAGTTTTGCATGCTAATATAAACTGTGGCTAGATGGATCAAATTGCTGTAGTTATGGAGCATATGCTTGTTAGCATGTGAGAATATGGAACTCATTCTAACCTATGATTTCATGGCTTGCTTACAAGACTCGCTTTGAGTAGATAACTTACTGTTTGACCTTTCGAAACTGAAATGGTTGCATTCAGAATTCTTCTAGCATGCTTGAGATGCAATTCAGACATCACGATGAGTATGAAGGGTCTTCTAAGGAGGATCAACATGTGGTTGTCATGTGGGAGCTTCAATCGATGTTAGCTGAGCTTTCCATGGCTCTACGACTCGGTTATGATCCAACTTAAGCTGCTGTCCAAGCTGTATATGACTCTTCTCCTTTCCTTTTTATTTGTCTGTTTTTGTTTTTTCAAGTGTGCTGTTTCATTGTAAAGTAAACAGTAGAACAGAATGATCAAGTTGGTAGCAACATGCATACAGCTATCGTTCTTTATCAAATTGGGCTTGCAGACTTGAAAAGTGTTGAGGGCAATACTACAACGAATATTGGTTGCAACGAATTGATTAGGTCACATTCTTGTATCTACGACATATGATTTTCTCATCAAAGCTCAACAAGTAAGTAAATTATTGTTTTTGAGTCGGGTGCAGAACTTGATAGATTATATTATTATTCAACAGTATTAGAACAGTAATAGTTTAATAGCAAACAGCCACAACGTTATATTTTATAGCATTGCAATGTTATAACGAGATATCTCCTAATCATGAAAAATCAAATCTGTTCTGAAAGGTAAATAAACACTAGATGGGAGAGTTGATAAAATATTTATCAATTGCAGTTCTCAGTTTAACATATATTAATATCTATAGAATTGTTATAAGTAATCTTAAATTTCTAATAAGCATTTTTAAAATGAAATACACCTTCAAAACAAAACCTACTTGTTTAGTTGAAATAGATGAGGTAAATTTAAACAAAACATTTTTATTGTAGTTTCATATCAATTTTTTGAATTTGTTTTTGAATTTTTATTTCGAAGAAGAGTTCATTATATCAAATTCAAGTATATAAATCCATATAGAATAAAATGTAGTATTGAAAACAAAATATGTCAAATATTACAAAAATAAATAAATTGTAGTATTAAAAAATAAAAACATAGGAAAGTTAAAAATTAGATTTATATTTTCAAAAAAATTGGTAAAATTAAAAATGGTTTTAGTACCAAAAGACATCAAACTTGTACCTACTGTGTTTGCAAATTGAGTGTCGTGATAAAAATATGAGACAAAATCAAAATTTAGAAAGAGTTTGTATTTTAGAAAAAGTTTTTGTATATGATTCAAATATCATATAAAAGAGACATAATTAAAATTAAACTACAAAAAGTATATTCTGAAAATTAAAATATATTCTAGAAATTTATTGTATTTTTGAGATTTTGTTATGTATTTTAGATGTAAGAGAAAAATTAATAAAAACATTATTTTAAAAATATATTTACAGATATATTATTTCTATGATTTATAAATGTTTTCAAATAGATAAGTAGTATTTTAAATTTTAAAAATATCAAGATGATAAATCTCAATAAATACCAATTTGTTTGTATCTATCTTTAGTTTATAAACTACCAATATCATTAATATCACATCTTTGATAATAGTGATAATAGTCAAGAAGATATTCATTTTATATAATGTTCTAAAATATAAAAATAACATAAGTAATTAACAAAAAAATCAAGTAATTTAAAAATTGGTGAAAAAAACTTTGATAAATTTGTGCCATAGATAGTTATTTTGAAACATATTTAAAAATATATTTATATATAAAAAGAAGGTTCTACAAAATAGTCATGAATTATTTTGGAAAGGACAAATTTTTTCTCAATAAATTAAATAAATATGCTATTTATCCAGAAATCAAGTAATAATTTTAAAATTAAATGATGGAACCTTGAGAAATAACATTCAATATGAAAGAGATGACTATATTGTTGAAAGTTAATGCAAGCAACAATACTTACATAAGAAAATACCAATGTAGAATCTCAGTTGCAATTCTCTGTTTCTATAGAACAAACAATAATTAGATATTATAAACCAAAAACCTTAAATAGTGGTAGTGATAAAATAAACTTTCTATATCTATTATTAGTATTATGGTTTTATGATTGATACGTACTTAGAGTTTTGTTTTCTCCTTACAATCATTGTTGTTCTTTTTCTTGATGTACTTCATAAGTCTTAACAAATTATCCCAATATCTATCCTTCCAAAAAAAGTAGTCTCAATGACATTTCTACAATATTATTTGTTGTATAACCACTTCATTTATAACATCAAGTGTGGTAAACTTGCACTTGCAATGTTGTTAAGTGTATATTGGGAAATTTAGGTTGTTCTTTTGTGCACAATGTGTCAAACAAACACAATAAGAGTAGGTATTACAACTAATCCCAAGGCAATATCATGAGCTGAAATCCTAAGCAAACCTTGTGAGGTTTAACTAAAATAGGATTAAAAAAAGCATCTCACTTCAGCAAAAACATAAGATTCTGCTACATCAAAGACTGCAATTTTGATATGTCTTGTATCAAGAGCTTTGTTTACCAAGATCAAGCTTTAGTAAAGAGTATGATGCTTCACAGTTCTAGAATAGTGACTTCTTCATAACATTTTGTTCACGAGTGTATATGTTTTTTGTTTTTTATTTTATTATTATTTTATGTTTTGGTTTGTGTTGCAACACCAGTAAGAACATGTGTCAATGATTCATATGGTTGTCAAAACTCTCACTTACTTTATAAATTTTTATTTTCAATTATTTTTATTTTTATTTATTTATTTATTTTGCAAAAAGCAAGATTATAAGTTTACAACCTGAGAACATATATCATTAGATAAGCAAGACATATTAGGTAAGGATATATATATATATATATATATATATATTTACACGCACACATACATACTTACAATTAATGGGACACAATTAGAAGGGGAGAGAGAGTGGGTTTGTGCCACATCCAAATTTCATGGCTTTGCAAGCAAGCCCCCCCCTTTTCCTTGCCCTCAAGGGGTACATAACCCTTGTGCATGTGGTCCATAAAGACCCTACAAAAAATAAAACCCCCCCCCCCCCCCCCCAAGAGGACCAAGTACTACTACCATCACAGATGCCCTTCTCCCCTGTGTTTGCGGTTGTTGCAAAATGATTGTGACGCCCAAACCGCAACATCCACACACGCAACCATAAAATATATTAACTAAAGCAAAAAAATAAAAGGATACAGAAGGAAAATAACGTAGAGAGATAGAAAAAGGAAAAGGGATCTTGGGTAATGCGGGCCGGGGAGATGAATCTCGTGGATGCAGAATATGGTTAGTTCATTCATCCAGCAGCGAGGTGGGCGGGGGATTTGCGCGGGTTGGTAAGGGGAGGGAGGGCCAGTCACGGATGCTTCACGTGAACCGATCTCCAGCTGTCCTTCGGGTGCCCCGTCACCATCGTCCCGGTCCCAGTCCCGTCCCATCTCCGTTCACACCGCGCTTCGTCCACTCCTGGATGTTTCTAGAGAGGGAGGAGGGGCCTCGCCATCTCCCTGAGTCCCCCCCCACGGCACTTGTGGCACCTGGTGGACTTCCTCAGGCCTGTATATCCCACGGTTTAGAAACCACAGGTGGTCTGTGGATTAACGTTTTGTGTGGTTGGATGTAGTTTTCCACAATTATTATTTCGACTATCAAATAGACTTCTTACAAATATAATCTTAGAATTAAAAGGGTGATAAAGAAAATTTCAATGTAAAAGAATGGAAGGTCGAAACTAGATTTGTAAAATCATCCAACTTGTTAGTATATTTGTAAAAACAATTCGTACATGTATGCAGACAGTCAGTCAGACATATTTTGTTTACAATTGTAATGGTTTGATTCAATAGAATGTTACAAATTCAGACTATATATTTAGAATGCCTAAAAATTTTAGTATGAAATTGGGTAACTTGTAGTTTATAAAATACTAATTTTGTTAACTATTGAACTTCAAAACAAAATTAAGACTTGAAATTTAGACCACCAATATTTTGTGCATATTTATGAACATTTAGAACAACATTTGTTTTTCTTCTATTCTATGCATTTTAAATACAATCATGTATGTTTGTATGTGTATCCATACGTATATTCATGCAATGCTTCATTTATCTCTAAGAAATAATTCTGAAGTTGAAATTGGAACAAAATTTGGAAACAGAGAAAAAATAGAAAACGAAAAGAAGTGTGATTAAATTTGGTTGAATAGAAAAGATACTCACCTTGTTATAGTATTAAAACAACAAACCAAACATTGTAAATAAATAGTTCTCTAGCTGCAATTCTCAGTTCCAATTTCTTGAGTATAAATTGAATTTTTGAGTAAACATTTACTCTATGACCAAGAAAAAATTATATAAATGCGCAAGATGTTAAGAAATTAACACTAAAAAATCACTTTTAATTAAAACTATTGTAATGTTGCATGTAGTTTTAATTAATTAATTAATTTATAATTTAATTTTTATTTTTAAATTAAAAATGAAGTGTCTAATACATACATACATACATACACATACACATAATACATACATACATACATGTGTGTGTATATATGTTATGATGAAAAATCTCATATAAAATTCTTCTAAATATAAAATCACCACTATGAGACAATCATCGAGTAACTCACCCAAATCAAAAAGAATATTCATTATCCTACACAAATACCTCACACACTCCAACAATCAAATTCCTCAAACTCCTTAGAATAAAGTAAAAAAGAAAATATTATATCAAACCAAAACAGTATACGTAATCCTACAATATATCCATTTTAAAGTTTTGCAGAAGATCCCTAAAAAGGAAAAGGTTCGACAACTTGGTCATTCCTAACTCTCCCCTCTTTCTCGCTCCTTATCCCTCTCGTTCTTCTCATATCGTTCATTCGTTCGTTCGTTCGTTCGTCCTTTGTTTGGTCTTCGTTCTTCGTGATTGGGAGATCCAACAAAAAGTGTCGAGCCTGCTGGTCTGCGCCAGCAAGCGCCGCAAGATGAATCCGTTGCCGATCGAAGCATGTGCAGATTCGCAGCTGTTGCTAACAGAACCACACCAAGCAGTCCAGTGCTTCGCTAGATTGCGCAACCAACACTCCGATGCACATTTTGCTCACGCGTGGTGTGGCAATCTGAGTAGAACCCCTGGAGTTCTCGGTTCCTCTCCGCCTCTGAATTAAAACTGTGTAACACGAGCCCGTTTTCCCACGTCGCGAGAATCGATTAGGGCTGGTTGATTCTCCACTCCTGCGTCGACGTGGACTTCATTCTAGAGTGTGTTCGAGATCGCAGGTCAACAACGTCAACGTTGACGTCCACTGGTGCGCTGTGTGCAGTATTTCATGCGATAACAGGTATGCAACGGCTGGAAAAGCGCAACTCGAATCCATTCACTTGATTCGAATGGATGCAAGTGCTGGAGCGATCATGCCCATCCTTCATGGCACGGAAAATTATCTACTAGAATTTGGCTAAGATTGCACAATCTGAGATAAGTTGAATCCATCAGTAGTCTGCTGCGCAACTTGTCAGGGACTGGTACAATTGATAGTGCGCTAGTGTCCGGGGGTGTTTGGAAGTAGAATAGTCCTAGGTTTGTGGAGTGGCTAGATCACAGCATTTGCCACCGCGGAGATGACCGACGTTGATTTGTGGTCACCGACACGGGAATATGAGTTCTGCCGCGGCTCGTCCCATCGTGCCAAACATCTAGATGCTCGAAGTGAACAT